AACTCCTTTGGTATGTAGGAGTACTCCTTAAAAAATGCTATTGTTCTCCCCTGGAATGCTATTGTTCTCCTTAGGAATGCTATTGTTCTCCTTAGGAATGCTTTGATGTCCGAAACTGATTACTATATACTACTAATATTTTCAAAAAGTATATATAACTTTGAGATGACACCCCACACCCCAACCCCCACTGTGAGACAGATTTGAGTTGTAGTTACTATGGTTTAACGCCGCTCTGAAAATATTGCAGTTATACCACATGCAGCTTGTCGTGATGCAGATCTTTTAATTGATCACCTTGATCAACTCAGCCAGCACGTGTATGGTGCTGACAAACCTTAAAATCAGTGCGAACTGAAATTCGAACCCTACGATGATTGGTTTCTATCTCTACGAACGGACGCACATCCGCCCCCTCCGCCCCCAATAAAAAACACACACAAAACCAACACAAAACACACACACACACACACACACACTGAATGAGATCGGATTTGTTTGTACTCAATACTATTCTAGCTACATGCCGGCGGTCTAAACACACCGAGCCTGGACCGGACAATCCAGTGATCAACAGCAAGAGCATCGATCTACGTAATTGGGATACGATGACATGAGACAACCAAGACAGCGAGCCTGACCATCGGGTCCCGATCGTCGTCTCTTACAACAAGCATGGTTTGTTTAAAACCATTTCTTACCCGGATCTTCACGAAAATAGAAATTCAAAGCTTGCGAAGCACATTTAATGGCACTTGCATATATTTCAAGACTACTTGAAGTTTGTTTTGCGAACCAAAACCTTCGCTGTCGGCGAAATATCATCTTTCACCTCATAAGAAAACTATGTCTGTTTTAAAGAGTTGCAAGCTGTCATTCTCGCCTGGTTTCATTTTATAGATGTATATATATTTATGATAGCACTGAATGAAACTAGGTGAGACTGACGACTTATATATATATACAGTCAATCAGTTCATGATTACCCCAACCAGCCAGGGGCAATATCCCCGCTTCACGCAGAGTTCCAATTACCCCGTAGAGACCTAGATAGAAATGGGCTTCAGATAGTTGAACACACCCCACGATATCGTGTTAACGACCATTTCATTGAGAGGTTCCATAACAACGGAAATATAACGGCAATTAGGAGCAATTCAAACAACTTGGTAAATACCCATCTCATCTTTTACCCTTCAACAATGCACAGCCTTTGGGAAGTAATCTTCAGACGTAACGCTGCAGTGGGCCCAGCACGGCTCCAGCGGCCAGGTCGTTCTACATCCCACCAGACATTAGACAAATATCAGCAAACACAGAGTACCTGAGTTCGGCAACTCAAAGACAGACGGTTGGAGTTTTTGTTCCTTGATGTAGTACCGCCATCTTGACTGTATAATGAAGTCACAACAAATGGTATCCATTAAGAGAAAGGCGCGAGGCATTCTACAACCATGTTGTGTTTCAATACACGCCGATGTTTTTTCGTCGTAACCGACTCGGGCTGACATACATTATGCCCCTTCGCGATCCCCACTTTTACGCATTTGTGAGCGGATTGCGGGGATAAATAAACAGGTTAAGAAAGGGATATGTTGCTTTGCTTTCTCCCCGTGTTGACCTTTCATAGGGCCAAGGGGTTTTGTTATCTATCATCTAATTTGCCCCCCCGGGACCACGGATGACGTCTGAGCTTTAGAGAGTGTGCCGACGGTTGTGGGTAAAGAATACAAATAAACGAACTTCGTATGAGTTTTGTCAAGTTACAATTCGTACGAGCGTCTTTGTTCGTATGTAGGGAAAACATGAATATTATTGAGAAGAAGGTGACAGGGTCGACTGGTTGTTTGGGTTTGAATCCAAAAGCTATTCTTGGTACCACAGCACAGTGCGAGCAGGGAGTTGTTATTTAACGTTGGCAAATGTCTTCCTTCATTTGTAACCTTGTTATGTTCACTCCCAAGTAAGGCGGCCTCCGTGGCTTAGTGGAGTAGTGAGTGAGTTTAGTTTTACGCCGCTTTTGGCAATATTCCAGCAAAATCAGAAGCGAGACCAGAAATGGGCTTCAGACATTGTACCCATGTGGGGAATCGAACCCGGGTTTTCGGCGTGACGAGCGAACGCTTTAACCACTAGGCTACCCCACCGCGCCGACAAAGTGTTGAAGACGTCCCAGGGTGTTATTCTCGATCCAAGGGCGTATTATTCTGAAAGGCGTAAAACCCATGAAGATTCGGGTTAGAATTGGTCCTCAGCAACCCATGCTTGTCGTAAGAGTAGATCGATGCTCGTGATGTCAATCACTGTATTGTCTGGTCCAGACTCGAATATTTACAGGCCGCCGTCATATAGCTGGAAAATTGCTCAGTGCGGCGTTTGACAACAAACAGACAAATAAAAGGCATTTAGAAGATTGTACATGTTGTCACCCTGGCTTTTGATATTAATCTAGACATAAGGACTTGTTGTGTCGTAGTCAGTGTACTTTGTGTGGTACGGTATCCATGTTAAACTGTTATATGGAATTTTAGTGGGCGACGGAAGTCCGGAATAATACAGGCACGCAAGCATGGTCACGATGCTGAATCTAAATATATTTCCTGGTTTGTCAGCACTACATCCGGGCATGCGAATTTGTCACTTGCATCTAAGCTGACATGCCTTGGTATAGTTAAACTGTTCAGAGCGTCGTAACATGTCATATTTGGGATTAATCTTTCTCAGTAAATATGTTATATTTGACAACTTTCTAAATGGCGTTGTGCATTGCGAGCGCCGTTTACCCAAACTCAGGAAGGGATTTCAACTAACCAAAAGCACGGAATCTTCTCTCAAGTGATGTAGGGGCGGTGGGGTAGCCTAGTGGTTAAAGTGTTCGCTCGCCACGCCGCAGGCCCGGGTTCTATTCCCCACATGGGTACAATGTGTGCAGCCCATTTCTGGTGTCCCTCGCCGTGATATTGCTTGAATATTGCTAAAACCATACTCACTCACTCACTCGAGTGATGTAACTTCTATTCACAGGTAACGAGTACAGCGTACAGTGTTCTTCACCACTCAGAAGTGTTTTATCGATATGACAGCTACTGACACCAAGCGTGCGAATGGTTTTACGTAGCTTTCAGCAACATCACAGCAATATCAGCAACAGCAATAACGGGCGACACAAGAAATAAATATTGTACCCATTTGGGAAATCGAGTGAGCAAGTGACTTTGGTTTTACGCCGCTTTTAGCAATATTCCAGCAATATCACGGCGGGGGATACCAGAAATGGGCTTCACTCATTGTACCCATGTGGGGAATAGAACCCGGGCCTTCGGCGTGACGAGCGAACGCCTCAACCACTAGGCTACCCCACCGCCCCTTGGGGAATCGAACCCGGGTGTTTCGCGTGATGAGCGAACACTTTACCCAATAAGCTAACCCCAACAGCCTAGTTGACGCTGAGAATGCATAGGGCTATTCTTAATCTGATTTACCTGCTTCAAATGTGAAATACTCAAGACAAACTTCTCTTCGGGTGTCCCTCCTCTATTAAACAGACGGTTCTGGATATATGTACCAATTACTGAAATAGTATTCAGCACCCTCCCTAAAACATCCCAACATCTGAGGTTCGATCCAGGTATCAGTATCCTCCCAGCCTCAATGTACCTGTCGTTTTCTTACTCTCGGCGACGCGTGTATCGACCTGAACAGCACGACACCAGCCGTTACGTTCTACACCCTCACCCTACGTGTGAATGGACTGATATACGATCGGAACAGCCCATGGTGAACATGGGTTTCTCGGTTGTAAGTGGACTATGTCAGTATACTGTAATCTGGCCCGAGGGTGTTTGTATCAACGCAGGTGCATGTGCAGGAGCAGGTGCTTGTACAACCAAACCATATCAGAATTTATAATCCAAACTCACAGCTATACTGTTAAATCAGAACTGATTTACTACAGGAATTCATTTTTGAAATTTGTATACTTAACTTATTGTATAATTGTTACGCATTAACCTCCCTTACATTTTGAAAAAACAAAACAAAACACACACACACACACACACACACACACATCAATGAAAGTTAGTTTTTATACAGAAAGTGCCACTTTGAAAGTCCATGTTGTGTTCGCATGCAAGATGGTATGAGCTTATGTTTATGTTTATATAATGGTTTAATACATAACCAGTGTATGAAATAAGGCCCGTCCGACCGCCCGAGACGGTCTAGATTTCTGACGGACTGTCTAAATTTACAGCTAACCAGCCCGATGGTCTGTTAAAAGATTTAGATGTTCCATACATCTCAGTAAATTCACCATATTTGGTCTGGTTCAATCCATTCTGGGCTGTTAACATTTTAAAGTTACCACCCCGGATGTCTGGCTGGATTTTTGGCCTATTTCGTACACTGGCAAAACACAACAATTATGGCATCAAGACAAAATTTCAACTAATGGGGCTTCATCTAGTCTACTCATTTCGGGAACAATAGATTGAGTTTTTAATGTAGCATGTGACATTTATGGATAATAACTTCTTGTTTATTGCATGGAATGAAGTTTCGATGTAGATCCTTACATCGTTTTCACACTTCATTTTCACGAGAGTTTCAATGATCATTTAATAAACTTTCAGGACAAAATGGGGAGGTGGGGTTTGCGCACCCCCTCTGGATCCGCCTAAGCTTACGTACAATCACCTAATAAGCCCATTCTCTTGGCACAATTCGGGGACAGTCGCGGTACACCACTTCTATATCACTCAAAGGAATGGGGCTGTAGCATGGACTACAATGTAAGTAAATCTTGACCAAACGCTTCATTCTTACTTCGTCTGTTGATTGGAAAATCTGAAAACATTGCGAATAAACTCACTTCTTCACAACGTACACCTTAAAAAATATCCTCCAGGTAATTGGGATATAACACCGACTGCCAAATAAACCTTCTCTCTCGACCGTGTAGCAGGGTAGTGTTAAGAGCTTGCGCTCGCGCGGTGTTCAGAGCAGGCCGTTAACTGTCCACACGCAGCAGACGACAGGTGTGCTCGAATCACGTCTACCGTAGCAGACGACACAGGTGGAGTGACTCCATTCGAAGTACGCAGATGAGTGCAATTCACCGGAATATTACAACTGTTTGCTTCCGTACACGATACTACAGCCTGGGCAGAGAGCACCCGTATTCACACACTAGAAGCAGACGACATGTCAAGCGGTCAAGCGAGGATGAACTTTTTGGTGCAGGATTGAGTGCGTTATAGTAATAATGGAGATGGGAGTTGGGAAATCCCCCAGGGCAAGTAACACGGACGGGATTGTTTGAGTAGAGGTGCGGATGAGAGGAGGAATACTGCTGGATTCGTCGGAGCCACACTGGTGTTCCGTGCACAGAGGTTAAGTTGGAACACTTAGTGGTGTTGGTTATATCGCCTGGTTTGTGCTTTTATCGTCTCTGTCCACATGGCATTTAAATTTCGTTTGTATTTTTGAACTCTCTTCATTGAAGACCAGGACTTGTTGATTCAAGAGAAGGATTTTATACAGTTTTGTGAGGAAACACGGTGTTTACCTTTCGAACAGGAACAAGTTTTAACGCGAGTTTTGTTGAAAGTGAATGTATTTCTTTACGACGGGTGGATACCGTGGGAAGACGAAAGGATTTGGAAGAAGGATAATTCATACGTTGAAATAGTGCTTTGATATCTCATCTGTTGTTATGGTTTCGGAATTTTCTAAATCAGCTTTTACCTGTGTGTAGGGATGGGGTCCTGCGACAGAGGCACAACGAGTATACATGGCGATTTGTTACATGTTTGTGTTCCACAGCCCAAATAACATTGTACTATTGTCGGTGAAAAGACCGCTATTTGTCAAAGGCTAATCGGACTTTATCTCTTGAGAAATTATACTCGGATACATGTGATATGATTGCATCTGTGGTTACAAAGGAAAATGTGTAATTACCATGTAGTGATTACAAAGTATTCTGTGTCTATATATTAAAGAAGGCCCAGGATTTCCTGTTGCTCAGCTCGTCTTAATGCTGTATCATTGGAGAAGAGTACGTCAGTACGAGAAAGACAGAACAGGCGACCAATCAGTATCCTTAGAATACCAGCTCATTTGCAGCCTCGTTGGAAATGTGCGGTTTTAAAATGATGAGGTATATCTAAAACTTTTGAAACTTTGGGAACCGAGTCATAACTCACAAGCAGTTGGCTCGGCCAATCAGTGTTCATCTCTGGCAGATGTTATCCGATATATGACGACATATGAGGGAGACAGTTTCAAAGGAAACCTGAAGGATCTCCAAAAAGTGTTACCGTAGCAGACGACACTTGTGACAATGTCGGACAGATTCGGTTGGCACGACTACTTGGTGCTGACTTTGATGTTGGTGGTGTCGGCGTCGATAGGGCTGTATCATGGCTGCCGAGGAGGGGGACAAAAGACAACGGACGAGTACCTGTTGGGGGGACGGGACATGAAGTTCCTTCCGGTCGCCTTCTCTGTCCTGGCCAGTTTCCTGTCCGCCATCACGGTGCTGGCAGTTCCTGTGGAAATTTATTTGTTTGGTGCTGCTTTCTGGGTGAACGCTCTGTCGTACTTCATATCTGTCCCCATCACAGCGCATGTGTTCATCCCACTCTTCCACAGACTCAAGCTCAGGAGCGTTTACGAGGTAAATGTCCAAATTTATAAGCCATCTTTCCGTAAGTGCTTTTTAAAAATCAAATTGCTGCGATGAAAACTTAATAATATAATTTTATTATATTTATTAAATTTTAGATATGATTTTATTATTGCGAGACTGTATTTGAATGTAAGAGAGGCGCAGTGGTCTTAAGTCTCAGACATCACATCGCTTACCAGAGTTACGTCCCTTGGTCCTGCCATGATCCGTTGAACGTTAGTTCGAATCTGCGACTCACGTAACTTATTATCCAACGCGTCAGTTCTATATCCGTGCTCGTGGTTTTCATCAAAGTGGTACAAAGTCCACAATCCAGGACTCCGATCACACATTATGATGGCGCGCCTTGAACACAAAGTACTTTTCAAATCAGGGGCGGTGGGGTAGCCTTGTGGTTAAAGCGTTTGCTCGTTAAGCTGAAGACCCGGGTTCGATAACCCATGGGTACAATGTGTGAAGCCCTTTTCTGGTGTCCCCCGCCGCGATAGTGCTGGAATATTGCTAAAAGCTCGCTCGCTCACTCACTCACTCACTTTTCAAAGCGGCGTTACCTGCTCACCCACTCACATATCGGCACGAGTGTTTAATGTTTCTAATATGCTGAGGTTGGTGTCGTGTCGGTGCTATAATGATTGCGATAGCGATGTAATTCTCAACTGGCGGTGGGGTAGCTTAGTGGTTAAAGCGTTTGTTTTTCCGGAGTTCGATTCCCCACATGGATACAAAGTGTGAATCCCGTTTCTGGTGTCCCCTACCGTAATATTATTGAAATATCGCTTGAAGCGGAGTAAAACTAAACACACTAAAGTAGCAATGGTATGTAATTCGCAAGGTCCGTGCTGTTGTAACTTATCCAGGTGAGCTTCAGTGATGCATGCTAAATTTCATAATTAAGACAGGATTTATACATAGATGGTATTATGTGACGGTAATATTAAACATAAGCAAAGAAAAGACCAATTACAAAAAAGAAACATCCATCATGATATCAATGATATCAAGAGCTTAGAAGCCGTCACTCTCCGTAGCATCGTTAAACGTTCTATCGCAGTAAGGTCTCTCAAAAAGCACGTGGGAAACGAGCGGAGGTCACCAAGAGGCCCTTCACGTGGGTTAGTAAAAAGCGCTGTCACATTAAGCGCGGGACTTTGTCAACATCGGCTCTTCATAGACTATAAAGTCCTCCTAAGTCGTAGAGTTCTATACGCTTTTAATAATGTAAATATACATTAAACGACTTCAATAAAACCAATTGTATTTGAATGTATACCGTTGGCAAATATTGCGTTCCCTCCGCACTGACGGGAACATGTATAGATAATGGATTCGACGTAATGATTCTCGGAAAAGGGCAGAGGTCAAGGCCAACGTGCACCCACAATGTGAAATGACATTAGGGGTAGCCTGGTTTTCTATAGCTCACGGTAATAGGTAATGTTTAGGGAGCTGCATCACGATCACATTCAGAGTATGACAGAATCGCGTCAGATCTATTTAAGGAAGTAATAGACTTTAGAAATATATTTCATGCGGGGATTTGTGATGACATTGAATTGTTGATCCGGCACCTATTGAATGCTACGTAATGAACGAAAGGGTGGGTGTACATGTACCCATATGACACGGTTTCATGGTGGGATCTGTGTCAGTCGCGTGGGTGTCTATATAATGTCTGACCGTGTGGCTATTACCGACGATCAGTTGATCGTGGACGTTTGTCGCAGCGATATTGTCCTGTTGTGACTGTTATCTAATCACGAGTGAGTGAGTGAGTTTAGTTTTACGCCGCCTTTTGCAATATTCCAGCACTATTACGGTGGGGACAAAAGAACAGGCTTGACACATTGTACCCATGCGGGGAATCGAACCCGGGTTTTCGGCGTGACGAGCGAACGCTTTAACCACTAGGCTACCCCACCGCCCTTATCTAATCACGAGGAAGACAGACAGGCTTTTGTGGGGGGTTTTAATCTCAAACACCAAACATATCACAAGTGTCGTTTAAATAAAAGTGTAGAGACTATTTTGTTTTCCTTGAACAAATCTGTTGATGTTTTAATGTAAAAAGATATTCTGGCATGCTGGTTGACCAGATGTCATTCAGAAAAATTGGCGACCCCATTTGGGGTGCCTTCGGTTTATTCCAATACCTGCTTAACACCTGGGCCCAGATTTTCGAAGCTCTCTTAGCGCTAAGATTGTCGTAAGTGCCATACATTAACATTAACTTACGACTATCTTAGCGCTAAGAGAGCTTCGAAAATCTGGGCCCTGGGTCAGCGAAGGAGTAGTGATACTGCATAATTTCACTGTAAACAACACTCGTATCACTCCGCGCATCTCTCCGCGTATAGTCCGTACGAATTCGACAAAATGTTTAAACGAAATAGATATCTGTTGCAAAATGTTAATACCGACGAAAACAAATCAAGAATCAAGGCTGCTATCAGATTGAGTTGTGAAATGTGATAGTCACCTGAACTAGTGAAATAAGTTCAAACATGGAATTAATGCTGGCTGCTATGATCATTTTGGTTTGAGGCGAGACTAGTGTCGGCGACCAGAGTCGCCCCAAATATCTCATATATATCACTGCAACTCGTACATAATTCTCAGGACCCTTCAAATACAGCTCGGCGTGTCTTTCGTTTCGTTAGCTTTCCTTTCAAATCAGTCACGCTGTGATATAGACCTGTTCAAAACAACTTTAGACCAGATCAGACTCTCTTATTTTATTTCGACCACAGGTTTATAACAGGCAATCTGAAAACAATGTATGAAGAAGGTTGGTTGGTTGGTTGGTTTGTTGTTTAACGCTGCACTTAGCAATATTACGGCGGTCTGTAAATAATCGAGTCTGGGCGAGATAATCCAGTGATCACCATCATGAACATCGATATACGCATTTGGGATACGATGACATGTGTCAACAAAGTCAGCGAGCCTGACCACCCGATACCGTTAGTCGCCTCTTAACACAAGCATGGGTTACTGAAGAACAATTCTAACCCGGATCTCCACGGGTCGTATGAAGAACGACTCTCAGATGCCCTGTCATGGTGCACGTGCAGATCGAGCACGATGACGGAGCATACTTTAATACACAAGAATCAGAGTCTGTGATTTCTTCGTATAACGAAAACAACATTCGACGTTAAAGGAAAAATGATTTACTGAAACTTTGAATACTGCAGACTTCCATGGCCCTTGCATCGCCAGAAAAAGATCCAATCCTACTTGGACTTTGTTGTATTTGTTGGTCCAGACTTGGTTATTTACAGGCCTCCCCCATATAGCTGGGATATTGCTGAGTGCGGGGTTAAACAACAAACCAACCAACCAGTGAAGATCCGGGACTTCAGCAACCCTGTTGGATCGGGTGGTCAGGCTCGCTGACTTGGTTGATGCCTGTCATAGTAGCCCATTTACGTCAATTAAAATAAATGTTTATGATATCAATCTTCGGAATTTCTGGCCCAGACGCCATTAGTTACAGGTGAGGTGAGGTGAAATTGGGTTTTACGTCGTGCTTGAGAATATTTCGCTCATATGACGACGTGCATGCGTGTGTATGTGAATGTGCGGCTGCTTGTACTAGCCCAGACTTAAGCTGGTTTTATAGTGCTAGCCCACTGAGATACCATGCCGCAGTGAAGCAGGAATACCCCGTTCAGACACATTATACTGACTCCGAGCCGACCAGTCCTTGTTGTACCCATTAATGCCGAGCGCCAGACAGGGACCATCAAGAACCATATTTTAACGTTCTTTTGGTATGACGCGGTCGGGGATCGAACCCGCGACCTTCCGCTCTCCGGGCGGACGCTCTAACCACTACACCACGGAGGCGGTCCCATTAGTTACAGACCGCCGTCATATAGCTGGTATATTGCTGGGCGCAGCGTTGAATAACAAACAAACAAACATCAGTTTTGAATGTACCTATGAAATAAAAAAGAACACTGGATGGATATTGTAATACTGTTATCGCCATACGTTTCTGAAGTAACTAGGCAGGAATTAGAGCGTTGTTTCCGCCGTGTGACATAGCCCAGGGGAAATATTACTATCGATCTGTTCCGTTCGGTATAGTGATTTATTATTCTATGTGTATTCGATTATTAATTGATTATTAATTGTAAGACCTTAGTCAATATAAGGTTACATTTCTGGCAAACGGTGTTGTCTGGATTCACTCTGATTATCCTCTGTTAATCACGAATAGTTTAGGACTGACTGACTGACTGAGTTTGGTTTTACGCCGCTTTATCAATATTCCAGCAACATCACGGCGGGGGACACCAGAAATGGGCTTCACACATTGTACCCATGTGGGGATTCGAACCCGGGTCTTCGGCGTGACGAGCCAACGCTTTAACCATTAGGCTACCCCACCGCCCCGAATAATTTAGGACAGTATACAAAATAAAACGCATACGTGCATTGATGGACATAAAACAAGATGTCTGCCGGAAGAAGAAGCACAGTCATGCGCACTGCTGTATCACGTAACTATGTGACGTTAACGTGTGTTTAGAAAGTATGGTTGGTTGGTTGTTTTACGCTGCACTCAGCAATATTCGAGCTATATGGCGGCGGTCTGTAAACAATTGAATAGGACCAGCCAATCCAGTGATCAACAGTATGAGAATCGATCTACGCAATTGGGATACGATGACGTGTGTCAACCAAGCCAGCGAGTCACCTGACCACCTGATTCCGTTCACGGGTCTGAAAGTATGGGCTACTTTGGTTTAGCGTAAGTATAACGGAAATGAGAACATGTTAGAACAATAGTTATCCCGTGCTCAACAGGTGTTCGCCTCGGACGTCCGGTGTTTTGAAATTGAATACAAACACTGATTAAATAGAAGTTACAACTGCGAGAATATAACGTGGGGTTGAGGTGTTGATGAAGAGTTAGTACCCCTTCCCCACCCGCCCGGTGTTCATTTCCGGTGTAATCTCAAGGTTATTGGTTTGTGTCA